TCTATGTACCTACAGTAGAGTAATGGCGTGAGATCGATTACTGGTGCTTCCACTTTAGACATAAAGGCAACGGCAAGGGTTGGTGCCAGTCGCTGTCCCATTGCCAACCCTCTAATTTGCGCATAATATTTCCCGGACCATCTGAAGATCGAGCAGTTTAAACAGACCTTCAGGAGGACCATAAGCTGCTGAATCGAAAAGCCATACATGTTAATTGCTCCTTCGTGTTTCTCAAGACACAGTTATCGACCATGTATTACTCTGTGCGGCGGCTATCCACCAACTAACTTAAATACTTACAACAAATAAACGGTAGGTGTTTGAATGAAGCTGTTTCTTATGCGAATGCAAATCGAATTGTCAAGTTTTATCTGCTAGGGTTGTGAAAGTGTTTGGCTGAGTAGATCGCATCTCAATTTGACCTTTCCAGGCTCTGAAGAAGGCGAAACCGCCGAAACGTCAGCAATTGTGTTCTAATAAATTCTATATTAACAACTTCGTGTCTGCTTATTGATGAAAAACATTGAATTATCAATTAATGCCGAGGTTAACAGAAAGTCGGTCATGGGAAAGCTATATCAGTTTAATTGAAAGCAAAAGTCTTGTTGTTTGTTCTCTTGTGAGTTATTGATTCAATTGTCACAGACAATCCGGTGCCAATTTGTTCACCCCGAAAGGATTGTTGTGTTTGATGAGTTCCGATCACAGGATTGAACAGAGGACCACCTGTTCATTGTAGAGCATATAAGTTACTATACCACCAACCACTGCGCTGTGCGCATTAGAGCTACTGCATATAATCACTAGACTGTAGAGTTGAATTTACAGTAAAACAGAAGCTTTCATAATCCGAATAATCAGATAAAGATTTCTAAAGATGTATTAGCTCTGGAAAACTTGTATATTTACAGCAAAGACATTCACGTTAGTTTTACTTACTAAACGCTTTAAATTCGAGTATGTTTGCATAATATATTACATCCAGTTCCTCAAGTTTGAGGTGCTCAACATTGTGACTGCTAATCACGAGAAGCCTTGCGTGGCACAGGCAAAGGCGAGCAGCTAATCCAACCGAATCTTCTTAACTACTTGGTATTCATATAACAGCAGACCGTCCCAACAATTTTGGTGCATTGGCTGTTTGAAGGGATCCGTCACGTCAAACAAGTCCCAACCAAGTACGTTAACTCTATAATCATGTCCAACTTAACGTTGGCAAGTCACAAGCGGATACTTACGCGGTATACTAACCAATTACAAAAAACCCTAACGCGGTTCAAAGACGCGCAGTTGAAAGAAATTGGAATTCAAAATCTGCAAGATGAGATAAGGCCCGCCGTCATTCACACAAGCCTGCAGCAGTTAGAAGGAGCTGCAGCCCTAGAGAACATGACCACAAAGATTCAAGACAAACTGGACGAACTCGGTACCATAATCGAAAAGACACATCTGACGCTACCAAATATTGAAGACGAGTTCGCACAATATTCGAGTGCCGCTGAAGAAGCGATTGGCAATACTTTCGAATACCTCGTACTCCTCCAAGCTCGGATCCATGGCTTCAAGGCTCACGCTAAGCTTCTCAACACATCCCACAAACCCTCCACTACAAACAGTGGGAACGATTATCTCGTTGGAACAGTGGGAATCCATGTCACTGCGGTCGTGAAGAAGCCAGGACTACCCACAATTACCATCCCGACATTCAATGGTGACATTTAGGATTAGGATAACTTTTGGGAGCTCTTCAATACAAATATGCATTCACGAAAGGTCTCAGACCTACAAAAATCAATTACCTCATTAGCTCCTTGAAAGGAAAACCCCTTCAAGCCATGAAGAAATTCTAGATCAAGCAAGGAGAACTACCAAAAAGCCATCGACTTTCTCAATAAAAATTATGGCAACTTCGAGCAACTTATTCAACTGCTCGAGAAACTGGACAGAACTGCTCCACGCTCATCCACCTTGTATGCGCAAAGAAAACTATTAGAGCATATACAAGCTATGCTCCAGCTAACCGAAAAAGGAGAAAATGTAAACAATCAATGCATGTACAAGAAAGTACTGCCGAAATTTCCCATCTACACTCAACGCAAAGTACTTGCCAAGAAAACGACAACTGAGAAACTCTTCAACATGCAACTACTTCTACAATTCTTAGAAGAGATCATCTCTAATGAGGAATTGATCTCACGTTATACCAAAAATAGCCAATCAATTCCAGCCACTACAACTAACTCTGAGAGCAGAACAAAACAAGAGTAACCCCAATATTCAGTGCTTCCATGCATGTATTGCAAGAGTAACTATAAACCCTTCTACTGCGACAAATATAAAGTACCCAAAGAAAGATCCCAATACCTTCAGAAGAATGGGTTGTGCTACATATGAGCATCCTCGTCCCACAACACATTTCAATGCAGCAAATCATCGTGTTATAAGTGCCAAAAACGGCACATACATCACGCTGCTTCTATTCTCCAAAAGAAAAACCCTTCACATCATCCTCGAGGAATGAAGAAATCAAAAAAGATGTAAACGATAACAAAGGAAAACTGAAAGTCGGACAAGGGATACCCGACGAAGAAAAAACATCGACACTATTAAACAAAACACTACAGTCAACTTTCTTAACTACAGGAGAAATGACGGTAATGGATCCAACAACCAAACAGCTAAAGAAGATCTCCGTATTGTTGGACACTGGAGCAGGGTTATCCTTCATAGACGAAAAACTTGCTCAAGAACTTCGTCTACCTACAATGGAGGAAACGAAATTGAGACTACACAAATTCGGATCGGATGAAATAAAAGAAAATATATCAAGAAAAGCCCCATAAGAAGTATGGGACGCAGATGAGCATCGACTTTCACTATTCCCGTTCACACACGATGCCAGAACAAAGCCTTTCAAGTCGCCACCAATCTGTCCAGAAGATGCAAACTTCATTCGAAGACGCAATCTTCAAATCGAAGTGAACAAAAATAAACCTAAAGTCAAACCGTCTATCCTGTTGAGCTGTGACCAATTGCGGACTCTAATAAAAACCGATAAACCCCATATTGAACTGCCATCCGGACTACATCTTCTTCCAACACGCTTCGGACACGTGTTCACAAGAAAAATCAGAAATCCACCACAATCACAGCACAAAGAAAGCGTGAACTCGCTGCGCCTGCGGTAAAACGACGATGAAATGGATAAATGGGACGGTGTTTGACATTACAAGGACAAGTCAATACTGCCTTCATCCATCATCCCGAAGCAAATGATGACGAGACACTAAAGTGGGAAGGATACTGGACATTAGAATCCGCCGGGACAGAGAGATTTTCGAACTCCGAAGCAGAAGAAAAAAAGTTGATGGATCATAAGGTTTGGGAAAACTTCAACAATGCAACTGAAAGACGACATGACGGATATCATGTTCGTCTTCCTTGGAAAGATTTAGCAATATCACTGCCTGATAACAAGGCAATCGCACTCAATAGACTCGTAAGTGTATGGAAATCCTCACATGACAAAGGAGATTTGCTGGACCTCGATATGAAACTCCGTGAATTTGTTTCGAATAACGCGAATTTGATGGCGAAAATAGCTGTACAGGACAAATCAGACGAAAAACTACCAGAAGTGCTTGGAATTCCATGCAATACGCAGTCCGACTGTCTACAGCTCTCATGCATTCTAAAAACACATCCACGTGTAACAAAGAGAACAGTTGCTAGTGCGCTACCTTCTGTTTGTGATCCCATAGATTTCCTATCACCTTAACTCCATAGAGCAGAGCTATCTCAATGCACTCTATCGAAAGACAAGTACGACTGGTACAACGCTTCACCAGAATCCTTCAAAGCACAATGGACCAGTATATGCACAGAAATTCAAGGATTCTCGAAATCTCTACCACGTTACCTTGGCACAAAGAGTTCCAACTATAATTTAGCAACTTTTGCTGGCGCCAGTACCGAAGCTATTGTCACGTGTATTTATCTGCGCTCAGAAGACTCAACGAGTCTTCTCATGGCAGAAGGAACTTTACCTTTGTTGAGATCCTCCTCAAGAGTACCAAAATGGAATCAGGTGCGGTTATCTTAGCACTATGATTAACCAGTGCCGTACTAATCCAACTTCTAAAGTCGCTAAAAGTTCAAGAAATTTCAATTTATTCCGACTCAAAGATCGTACTCAGTTGGATACTACGCAAGCCTCTGAAAAATTTCGAACTCAGAATATTCAACGGACTGATGGAAATAGAAAAAATTGTCGAATATACTCAAAGCGTTGGTTCCCGCATATTCTTTGGCCATGTCACGTCACAGTACATTACTACGGGCTGCGCAACTCATGGCCTTGGCCAACACGAATTGCTATACCACTTTTAGTGGACTGGACCATCTTTTCTTCAAGAATCTCCAGAGCATTGGCGGTTCAGTGGTAGAATGCTCGCCTGCCACGCGAGCGACCCAGGTTCGTTTACCGGCCATTGTCGACTAGTGGACCAATAAACAATAATAATTATATATCTTTCTACTTCTGTTCAGCAAACACGAGGTGTTATTTTATTTCTTTATTTACGCACAAGCTGACGTTTCGGCGGATTTCGCCTTCCTCAGAGCCTGGAAGGGTCAAGTTGACAGCAATCCATTCGGCCAAGCATCTCCATAACCAAACAGAGAAAACGCTAAACCAAAATTTCAATCACATTTAGCATAGCTCTGCACACTCGCCGCTTTCTATGAGTCTTCTACTGAGTATGTCGTGTGAAGACCACATGGAATTCACATGGAACCGTAATGTGCCCCTCCCATCAGAATAACAGGTTTATATACTGTCCAATATCACGCGTGATACCGAGGCATTCTTCCCTGCGGTTCACTTTCGGATTCTTGGAATTAATCCAGAATGCCTCTAGAGTTTTGCGCGCTTGTGTTCTCGATTCTTGCGCGAGGATCGTAACCCTTACTTCAAAATCTTCTCCGTTATATTTCTGCGTGCTATGCGTACCTAGTGGAGTACTTGGCTTACGTTTACCGACTAGGTGTTCTTTTATACGTACGCAGAGTGGTCTACCAGTTTCGCCAACGTATTCGTCACCGCACGCTTTACAAGAGATCAGATAGATTGTAGCCGAACTCATGCAGTCACCGTCTCTACCATTGGGACAAATTATGCAATTTTGCGTTGCACATAGACGGTCGTATAGGTGGTTACGAACTAGCTGGCGTCTTAGACTACTCGGTGGTATTTCGATTATCGTCACCGAATTCTCTAGACTGGCCCTTCTTAAAAAGCGTTTTATAGCTGCACTTACTTCATTTAAATGAAGGGCAATATAAACGGGACCTTGTTGTCGCTAGAGTTATCGTTGGGGTACCTGTGGTTTCCTCTACACCTATCTCGAGCTGCAGTTTCGTAGCCATTAAAAATGGCTATTAGCCAGGCCAAGTTCCTGGACTCCTCTCTGCTGTCTTCCTGTGCACACGCAGGTAACTGTTCGATACATGTTTCTCACAAGCGCCCTCTTCGTGTGAGAGGGATGAGAGGAGAGGTAATGAACTAGGATGTTTCTACTACTTGGCTTTCGATACCACTTCGTAATGTAGCCGTTTTCTGATAGGCTAATTTGCACGTTCAGAAATGGAACCCAGTCTTCTTTTGGTTTCTCTGAGGTGAATTTAATAGACTCTGACTGTGTGTTCAACAACTCGAAACATCTGTCGATTTCTTCTTGCGTTGAACAAATGACCAAGCAGTCATCTATATATCTACAGTAGAGTAACGGACCGAGGTCGATTACTGGCGCTTCCACCTTAGACATGAATGAAATGGCAAGGCTTGGAGCCAGTCGTTGTCCCATTGCCAGTCCTCTCATTTGAGCGTAATTCCTCCCGGACCATCTGAAGATTGAGCAGTTTAGGCACTCCTTTAAGAGTGTCATCAATTGCTGAATCGAGAAGCCGTACATGTTTATTGCTCCTTCGTGTTGTATAAGGAGCTCGTTTATGGCTTGCATAGCGGATTCATTCGACACGTTCGTATACAGGACAGTGACGTCGAAGGACTCCAACACGTACGCACTGTTGGGTCGCACGTTACGTAGACGATCCAGGAACATTTGGGTGTTCGTTAGATGAGCTGGAATGTACTTCAACAACTGAGTAAGTATTAGGGTTATTAACCACGTTATTCTATCTGTTGGCCCGTCCACGCAGCTAATGATAGGTCTAACCTTAAATAACGATTGATCGGTAGACACAAGATCATCGCTGGATACTAACTTATGGGTTTTGATAAGTAAGTACAGGACGGGACATGTTGGTAAGTCAATTTTGAGATGAGAGATAACTGAAGGTTTTAACCCTGCCGCTCTTGCCACTTTAACCCATTCGTTGTTTAACTTCCGGTATTGACTTTTAAATTCCTTCTCAGACGATGGACGATAAAGGGAAACATCTTCAAGGTGCTTTTCCGTTATCTCAACATCTAACTGATGGGGAATTACAACGAACTCTCCACCCTTATCACTAACCGATAGTCTTATGTTTCTTGATCTTATCAGCTCTCGTACCTCCCGCATACCACGTTTTTGTATTTCAGTGAGGTTGGAGCAGTATCTTTAATTGTAATATATAGTTATATAATAATACAATTATATAATTCTGCGTGCTATTGCTGATAGGACTCATCTGAGAGTGCATCTCAATGTACGTAGCAC